TAGGCTAACGAGGAGATCTTGTTATTTCTGTCTTGTTTTCTATTGTCTTATATCTAAGAATGCAAATGCATGTCATATTCTCATCATCCATACCACTTATATTTACTGAAGCAAAACATGCACAATTGTTGGCATTTTTCTTTTCTGCCTTATATATTGTCAATGTGTAGTGGCCTTCAAGGCGACTATCTGGGAGAATTTTCTTTCTAAGAAACTAAGAGAGATTTGATAGCAAGTAATAGCAAGTTTATTTTAAAAGAAGATTTAACCTTTACATTGTAGGTCCTGTACTAATCATTAGCATCTCCTTTGACAGGCGGGAATTTGAAGCACACGGAGGTGAATTAGCTTGTCTCTGGTTTCACAGGGAGCAGGTAACAGAGTTGAGATGCAAGCAGTATAACTCTACAGTCTACAGTGTTACTTCAGTGCAATGCCTTCTTGTATGACACTCATCCTTTCTAAAGATGCGAGGTAGGGTTGTTCACATTTCTATTGAAGGACAAGGAATATTTCCCAGCTTAAATAACAGCATCCCCTGCCTGCACTGTAAATGTATATCCTCACTTAGCTCTAATCCGCACAGCACTACTCAAGGCTAGTGATCTACTACCTGAAGCACAAATCTACTTTCAGCTGTTTTTGGTGGTTAATTGGAGGTTAAGGGTCTCCTGGATTTTCCTGTCTAGTCTGGCTTGGAACCCTGATCCTCAGATCTCAGCCTCCTGAGTAATTAGGGTTATAGGTATAAGCCACTGATGTTCGATGACTTATACTATTAGCACTGTAGATGTTCTGTTTTATACAATCTGTGTAATACTACTAAGATTACAAATGCTGCCTACTATCCCTTCTTTTTCATGCCCTATGTGATCCCCTAAATAATTATACCTCCAATTTATTGATTTTTGAAAGGCAAGGCCTTGCAAATGTTTTCATGCATTCATGGAACTTTTTTCTAATTATGAAAATTAAATTTATTCACTGTACCCTATATTATTATATACTTAATTACCTTTTTTAATGTTCTGTAAACACATAATTAGCAAATAGCTTTTCTTGGTTTATGTACTAATCTATTGATTCACTTCACAAATTAATTAATTGCACCAATTTTGTTTATTTTTCTACTTGCATGGTTGTAATGAGATCTTTTTGTCATTTTTAAAATGTTATCTTTAGAACTGAAAGCAGATGCAGACCATAGACAGTACTCAGAAAATATTTACTGAATTAATGTATGAGTGACCTACAACATCATAGTATTTACAGAAAAGCAAATCAAAGAAACTGTAAGTTCTAAAAAGAAATTTTGTAACATTTATTCTTGTTTAAGTAATTCATTTTTTCTTGTTTAATTTAAATATACCTAACCATTTGCTTGTAGATAGAAGATGTCCTTGTTTTTCACAGTAGTAGTGCATGATCATAGGAATTACCATGCAAACTAAAATTAAGACAAGGCAACCCTATAATAATCCATGGGGAAAGGTTACTTTTGCTCCTTGATTTTTAAATATTTTCAAATCATAGCCAGCATAGTGGTTTGCTCCTGGAATCTTTGCTACTCAGGAGGCAGAGATGAGAAAGGTAAGTGTGAGATAGATCTTCAAAGAAAGTTTGAGAGATCAAAGAAAGTTTGAGAGATCACATTTTAGCCAATAAAATCTTGGTGTGGTCTCAGCTGTGCAGCCACAGGAAGTATAGATAGGAAAATGGTGGTTCAAGCCAGCCCAGGCATGAACATGAGTACCTATTTAGAAAATAACTAAAGCGGGGTAAGAATGTGGCTTAGTGGTAGAGTGCTTGCCTTGCATGTATGAAGTCATGGGTTCAGTTCCTCAGTACCATATCAACAGAAAGCTGGAAGGGGAGTGTGGCTCAAGTGGTAGAGTGCTAGCCTTCAGCAAAAGCAGCTCAGGGACAGTGCCCGGGCCCTGAGCTCAAGCCCCAGGATGGGCATAAATAAATAAATAAAACAATAAATAAAACAAAAATAACCTAAAGCAAAAAGGGTTGGGGGCATGATTTAAGTGGCTTAAGTTGTAGAACACCTGCCTAGTAAGCACAAGGCCTGAGTTCAAACCCTAATACTGTCTTCCCCGTCTTCCCAAAATCTAATCATTTGATGTTAGTTTTAAAGGTATAGGGAAAGGAAGGAAAAGGAGCAAAGCTAGTTTTTATTTCATACACAGTAATTTAAAACATTAGAAATATTGAAATTACTGATCCTTGCAATAGAATAAAATAAAAAGGAAATATTGAAATTAGTTTCTTTCTTTGTGAAAATTTTTTGGGAGTAGTTTGAATAATGCTTGCCTCTTTGCTCTTGTATAATTTATGAAATGTGGCAAATATTTCTTTTTCCTCTCAATTTCTAGACTAACTGTCATGTTTTTCAAGTTTGGAAGAGCTTATAGTATTTTATGCATTGTGTCTTCTGTGTCAAGAAATGGTCTATTAGAGTTCCTTTAAGATACAATCCTTTTTATCACAACTACTTTTCATGTTTGTATGTGTATATGTATATCTATGTGTATGTGTATCCATATGTATGTATATATGTATATATACACATACTTTCCTTTACTGGGATTTAAATGCAGGGCCTCATATATGCTGGGCAAGTACTCGACCACATGAATCATGTCCTCAAACTTTTTTTTTTGAGATAGGGTCTTGCTAACTTTGCCCAGGCTAGTACCACCCCTGGTATAATTACAGTACTGGGGATTGAACCCAGAACCCAGAGTGATGCTTGCTAAGCATCAATCTGCTACTTGAACTATACTCCAGGCCCTTCTTATATATGTTGTCTGCCTCCACTATAAGACCTTTGTATATGGAAAGTGGCAGGATTATCAACATTCTACCCAACCAGATCATCTCCTGTCTCCATTTATATTGGATCCAAATTTTACCTCTGATATCTATTTTCATTTCTGTGCTGTACTTTTTATCTTTGCTGGCCAATTGTGTCTAGATTATCCATGCAGTGTGGACTTCCCTTTGGGAGATCAGAAGGCAACACAACTACACACTTAGCTGTCAGTGAGTGAACTGAATAAAGAGCAGCCAGTGGCCAGTGACCATCAGAGAGATACAAGTACCGTCACTGGTCAGTGGTCAGGTTGCACATTGGTTAGTTAATGTAGTGTGAATTGCAGACAGAAGAGCTAGAAGAAAAAGTTGTATTTTATATAGAGTTGATATACAATGTTAAGTGAAATGTGGAATGGGTTAAGGAAATACTGTTTTTTAACTACAGTGTGGAAACTGAAATATACATGTGTTGGAGCTGGGTTGAGCTGCATTAATTACAAGGTTTATTTTATGGAGATTTACACACACACACACACAAACACATGTAATTTTTTCTTTCCCTAATATAGGATCAGTTTTTTGATGTGTGTATGCTGGGACTAGGGCTTGAACTCAGGGCCTTGTGTTATCACTCGGTCTTTTTGCTCACAGCTTGGGCTCTACCACTTGAGCCACACCTTTAGCTCCACCTTTTTGCTAGTTACTTATTATTCTGAAAGAGAATCACAACCAGGGCTTCATTAATACTAGGCACTGTAGATATGTAGTATCATATTGTATATTTGTACCATACATTAATCAGTCTCTTTTGCAGTTATTTAGGATTTTTTTTCATTTTTCTCAATGGTAGGTGATGCTGTAATAAACATTGCCATTGTAACATTTTTGAATTAACTTATTTTCCTGAGTGAACACATTTTCAGGGAAAAATTACTGGCTTACAGCATATGCTTTTACTTCCAGATTTCCTTTAAAGAGATGTTTTCTTTAGAGATGATTCCTGAATATTGGTCACTATTCTTCTTTATTCATTGATGCCATTTTAGTAACTAGTTCGAATATTTTTCATGGGCTTATTTGTAGCAAATAAATTTTGATCTATGGATTATTATCCTGTCATGTATTACTATAGTTTTTCAGATGAGATTTTCAGTTTTTTGAGGTTTGAATATTTTATTATGCTCCGTGTATACATGTATTTCTACAGATTTGTGCATATATTCTTTTTTATATAATATACATGTGAACTCCATTCACATGTATATGTCACTCTTTGTTTTAGCTAGAGCTTAGAAAAGTATCTATGGTCCTTAGTTTTGTAATATAACCATCAATTTCCAAATGCTTATCTTTCTCTTATTCTGTCCCATTTTCTCCTATTTCTCTCTCTTTTAAAGCAAAAGAACATTACCTACAACTTGGGAGGAATTCTAGTTAATTTTTCATTACATGATTTTCAGCAGATGGGGTCAAAAGGAACTAGTAGGGCATTCAATTATGTGCTTAAGTGTGTTGGAAAATCTTCTTCTTCTTCCCCCCATCAGGTCTGCAATATTTTACTTGGGCTTGTTTTTCAAGTGCACTGAAGTGTGACTAAATGTTTTTGGGTCCTTTCATTATGTAAAGAAGAAGGTCCATCTTGTTAAATATTCCTTCATCAACCTTGTAGTTAGTCAGTCTTGGGCAGTAAGGAGGCTGAGATGGCCAGTGTGTAGACATTGGACAGAGGGAGGGAGGGGTGGGTAGAAGGTGGGGACCCAAGGAAAACTCAGGATTGGGGTGCTTTGTTGCTCCTCCCACTGCTCCATAAAAAGTGATTGGTTCAAGCTGATTTCTGTCACAGAATTTTGGACAGGTCATTAGTGGGGAGGAGAATCCGTGGCTGGACCTCAGCTCATCTGAGGGCTCAAGCTTCTTTGTCACAGGCTACACAGTTCTGGCGTGCTGTTCCCGAGAGTGGTGGAGAATCTAGATTCAGTTTGGACTAAAGGAATAGAGACAGGCTTTGATTTCTTTTTGGCTTTAGGTTGGGCAGAAGGGAGCCTCAGCGACAAAGATGTCCACTGACAATTTGGAAGGGAAGCCCAATAACCTTGGGGAGAGAGGAAGAGCCCGAAGCTACACTTTCCTTAGGGTGGTCCAGCCAATGTTTAACCACAGTATTTTCACTTCTGCAGTCTCTCCTGCGGCAGAACGCATCCGATTCATCTTGGGAGAGGAGGATGACAGCCCAGCACCTCCTCAGCTTTTCACCGAGTTGGATGAGTTGCTGGCCGTGGATGGGCAGGAGATGGAGTGGAAGGAGACAGCGAGGTGAGGCATGAAGAGTAGTGTGTAGTGCTGACCTGGGGAAATGCGTGCAGGGGAGATGGGCACACCTGTGACTGGCCTTAGTGCTGGAATGGCTGATGGATATGATGTTGGCTGGGCTAAGGCATCTGTGACTATTGGTTCTTTCATTCTACATTGACATGGATGCAAAGCTCCTCTTACTTTCCGTGTGGAGCATGGTTTATGTACTGACGTGAGTTTGACTTCTATAAGGAATGGAAGTAAATCTCAGTTTATATGAAATTTTGTAATAAACTGAAGCACCCAAAGATGATAGCCAACGCATTTATCTCCACGTATTTCCAAACGCCAAAGTACCTAGTGAGATCTGGAATGGCTTATTTCCTACTCCCTGATTGGAGAGTTGTTATAAAGACAATAACAGTTGTAAGTCAAAGTTGGTATAATTTCAAGTAAAAGCCTGTCATCTTCTGAGTATCTCTTTGAAAGCAATGAGAGCATTCATCAAAATTTGGAGTTTAGAGTCCTCAATTTATTTTTATGTAATATTTATATATGTTATATAAAATAATACTTGTATAACTATGCCATGCATATTATATCTGTTCATATATATTTGGAAATGCTTTGTAACCTAAGCATTCCTCAAGTATCTTAAGGTTTTGTGAGTTGTATGGGACAGAGCTTTTCTTTACATGTAGATTGTTACATGTTCCTGACTCAATCTTTTTCTGTGGCATATCACAATTCTACAAAGAGTAACTGTGACATAATAGCACAGTATTTGTCTCTCGTTGTCATTAGCACATAGAGATAGCAGTGTAGTTTACCTTCTCCAAAATAGTGTTTATCTGTATTTTTCTTATTAAATTCAGCCAGTGCCCCTTGAATAAATGTACACACATCAAGCACACATATGAAGGTCTTCGGCGTACAGCAGTGGGTTAAAAGAACCATACAGATCTCTGTAAAAGTTGAAAAGTTTGAATTGCATTCGTTCACCATATCTTCTACAATTTAAGGACTACTAGTCATATCTAAGCTTTTGAGCTTTTGAGCTAAGGAAAAATAAAGCAAAAATATAGGTGATAGTCCCACAGCAATAGATAGAAAAATGGATTGAAACTGCATTTCTGTTCTAGGTAGATCTTTCTCAAGTCAGAAAGAAGTTGTTATTTTTGATCAGTAAAAGCAAACAAACTATGAGGAAGGCAATGACTCAGTAGTCTTTCTAGATGAGTCTATTAAAAGTTTCACATATGATATTCTCTATTTTAACTTTATCTATTTGATGATGTGTGATCGGTTAGGTCCTGAAACTTATACCCTTTATTTTTATTTTCACAATTTTAAGTACTACTGAGTATCTGTAGCTATTTGATATTTTTAATACAGAAGCTTCATAAATTAAAGTTTAGTAAAATTCATAGAGAACTTCTTATCTTCCATAACTTCACCTATAGTCAGAAAAGAAAAAGGTATTACATTTTATTGGCCCTTACAGTAGTAAGAAGGAAGAGACCCAATTTAAAAGTATTTTCTTTTCCATTTGTTGTGGAATTTTCTTTCCACTACAGACAGTGGGTATACGTGTTTAAACTTGTCTGTTCAATAATTAATATTTTCTTCTTTTACTTAAAAAGCTTTTGGTAACCCATTTCTACCCCATCTCTAATTCTGTCTCTTGAAATTCCTTTTATACTTGGACCTTTCTCAAAACAGTAGCTTGTATAGTAAAAAATCCTTGGTAAAGTACGCTTTTTACAAGTCTTTAAAGTATCTTTTAAAAGAAATTCAAAGAAAACCTTTTAGTAATATCTCTGTTGCAATCTTTCTTTTCCTTCTTTCCTGATGGAAACTACAGATTGGTAAAGTGTTGAGATATTTTAGTCTTGAGTTTGCTGCTGTCTTCTTGTTTAAGCCTTTCTAAGCTTGAGTAGTCCATTCTATCAAATGAGCATCTTACCAGGTGACATCCTCTCCAACATCATGCAGATTTTATTACTCTAAAATTTCATCCCCTGTGGGTATTCTGGTACAGTCAGCTGTGCTTCTAAGGTTACTTTGATTCCTATTTTCATCTTGAAGTTCTCTGTGAGTAGTTACCACAGACTAGAATGTGGGGTGTTTTTCTGTTTCTGGTATAAGTCAGACGTAGACTATAATTTACAGGATTCCTGTTCCTGAAAGGGTGAAGAGATCATGGTTCATTGTCACTGAGAATACAATGTTGAACGCACGGTCATAGTATTTTCATTTATGATTCATAAAGTAGGATGCCCTTGAATTCTTAGATTTTTTTTAGGGGGGGGAAACATATGCCATTTTGGTGACTTGAATGATCCCCCAGAGATTACTGCTGGTGAGGAAGAGTGTTGGCAGGAAACTGTGTATTGAGGGGAATGGTCCAGGGAGAAAAAGTATTCACTTTATAGCTTCTTTTATTTAAGATTTGTCAAATCAGTTACTAATTAGTTGCAGTTGTAATATTTTGATTTCTCTCATTGCACAACTTCATGTGAAGTCAGGGACCATTACGTGTGTCCATTCACTATGGTACTCCCAATGTCTTGCACCGCTGTACATAAGAGGTGTTGAATAAATGTTTGCTAAATACATAATTAGTTGGGAACCGATTGCCTTAGAAATAATGGTTCAGAGTCCAATAGTGTCTTAGAAATCTTGAACAAAGTTAGAGTCTGTTATAATTCATCTCTTTTGGACTGATAGCTATAGAATGCCAGTACCTACATCATTGATAAAGCTCAGAAAAGGATCAGCATTTAGTTTCAAATGAATTCATTAATAAGGTGACGATGTCTGCATTTACATCTGTAGCATAGACTGGTTTTCCTCATTGAAATCAGATAACTAGAGGGCTGATTAAGAGTCTTCCATTGAACATGTCCAGATTTACTTCACCAAATAATACCATTCTTCTAGTTGCTTCACTCAGAATATTGGGCCTTGATCCCATCTTGCTCTCCTGTCTCTTATCTGACCAATTGGAAAATTCTGTTTCACCTTCAAAGATACTTGGATATTCAGGTATCTCACATTCAATACTTCTGCCACCCTGGTTTAGGCCACCTTCATCTTTCACCCAGATTTCTGTAAATACTTCCAGTTAGTCTCTCTGCACCTATCATTACTTTCCTCGTGAACTATTCACGCTGATCACTTTGACTTCTTTGTCCTGTTCAGCCTGCCCAAGGCTTGCTGGCTGGTCATGCTACTCTTGTCGGGACTCTCCACTTTCCATCCCCTCTATCTGAAATTCTCTTCTATCACACCTCGGTTGTGTGCATGGCTCACCTCTTCACTCAGGCCCTCATTCAAAGATTACCTTCTCCAACACTTTCCTCCAACACTTCATGTCCTTTATACTTCATTATTTTCCTTTAGCACTTAGCACCATTTAGCATATCATATATCTTGATATCTCACTCTTGTCTCCTCCGAATAAAATGGAAGCTCTGTGAGTGCTTGTTTTGTTCACTACTGCACTCCTAGCACTTAGAATTTAGAGGTACCCAGTGATGCTCACGAACTAGGAATTGAGAGAAGGAATGAATGTAGAAATAGAATCCTTACTTTGCTCCTTTCTCTAAAGTTCTGTGGAGAGGCTTGCAGATGGTCATGCTTCTTGAAGCGGTCATATTATCAGCAGTCTACTTCTAGGGATACACTCTGCTTTCAGAGTGTTTCTACAATAATGTTCCCTTTGTGATGTCCAGCTGTGATACCTACCAGACTAGTAAAAGTGAGGTGTTTAGAAGGGAATAGTTTTATATATGAAGATGTGTGACACACGTCTCCTTCTGACTAACTTTTAAATTCAAGAGCTGTTTGCTTTCCTGTGAAAACTCTGCTTGACAGACATGGGCATGTGTGTGTGTGTGTGTGTGTGTGTAGTGTGTAATGTGTTTGGGTGAGGGAATGAACCCCATACAGGCTAAGTAGGCACTCTTTTACATCCCAGATGGAAGAGTATTTTATTCCAGAGAGCCGGGAGGGAGAAAGAGGAGATAGCTCTTAGTGAGAGTCTACACTCCATAGAGCACAGGGCCCATACTTCTTTGCCTTTTCAGTTTCTATACTTTTCAATTGCCTAATGATTTTTGTTTGAACAATAGTATTACTTGTTGCAATGTTTCAGCATTATCGTGGCTTCAATCTTACTTTAGGAATAGCAGGTTGATTTTTTTGTTTTTGTTTTCACAATAACTTTTTCAATAGTAGTGAAGATGCCTCTTTTCATCTTGGAAAGTAAGTTTGCCAGAAAAGTTTTTACTTACATGGAATTTAAAATAGCACTCAACTCTAACCCTCCTTTTCAGATTCTTCACCTATCTTTCCTATGTTACAATGCTGAATTTCTAATAGATCGTTCACAATAGTGTGTGTGTGTGTGTGTGTGTGCTGAAGAGTGTACAAAGTGTAGATTTATCAGATTTGAGATATGTATCTGATTAATGGGATGTCAAAAATGTTACTTTTTTCTGTGATATTGGGATACAGGTGTTCCACCATCTAAACCACAGCCTCTATCCATTTTTACTTTTAGTTAATTCTCATATAGGCCTTATATTCCGTGTCCCCACCCCCACTCACCCCCAGCTTCATACCACAATCATCCTATCAATGCCTTCTACAGTGCTTTTTCATGGCAGGTGTGTATCACCATGCATGGCTTATTAAACAAATTGAGTTCTTACTAATATTTTATCTGGTTGTCCTCAAACTGTGATCTTCCTGATTTTTGCTTCCTAAGTAGCTGGGATTATATTAGAATTGTGAGCTACCAGATTGCTTTTTTTTTCCTTTTCTCCAAGATAGGATCTGAAACTGCTTTTTACCTGGCATGGCCTTGAATTCTTGTTCTTTTACCTCTTGAGTAGCTGAGATTATAGATGTGTGCTACCTAGCAAATGTCAATCATTCTTCCCAAAAGTTATCTCTGAATGTTTAGTCATTCAAAAAATGACATTTATTCTCATACAGTAATTAACATGATATCA